TACTGGTCAAACCGGAAGTAAAGGTCAAATGAGGTCAAGATATTAATTTTCATCTATAACACGTCCCTGACTATGTGCATACCAAATTTAATATAAATCGGTCAAATGTTTACTTGTTATTAGACTGTAAAGAATGAATATTCGAATTGAGGTCACATGACCCCTTGATGACGTCAGGATTACAAAAAATGTTCGGGGCATATCTTCTGATGATGGTTAATTACAATACCAAGTTTGAAATTGATGGGAGTTAAAATTCATGAGATATGATTTTTGTTTTAAAATACAACTTCCGGTCAAACCGGAAGTAAAGGTCAAATGAGGTCAAGATATTAATTTTCATCAATAACACGTCTCTGACTATGTGCATACCAAATTTGAGATAAATCGGTTAAATGTTTACTAGTTATTAGACTGTAAAGAATGAACATTTGAATTGAGGTCACGCGACCCCTGATGACGTCAGGATTACAAAAAGGTTTGGGCATATCTTCTGATGATGGTTAATTACTTTACCAAGTTTGAAAACGATGGGACTTAAAAAATTGCCAAAGTGTAAAAAAAAGTGGAAAAGAAAAAAAAAAGGAAAAGAAACTTTAACAATTACAATACTGTTCCCAACTGAGATTGGGAACAGCTAATTATTCACCAATCCTTCTTTTCAAAATCAACAAGGCTGATTCCAACACTTGTACTTTTTGTAAAACTGTGGAAGAATGCCTAATTCATCTTTTCTGTAGCTGATCTTATTCAGGAAACTTTTGGTCCTCTCTAGTTTCGTGGATTAAGGAGAAAAATGTATAAGTTTGTACTTGGACAATCACACTATGCTATTTGGTATTATTAATGTTACTTTATAATGTCTTAATTCAATACTTCTATGCACTAGATTCCATATCTATAAAGCAAAAAATGAACAATAGGCTCCCCTCTTTCTTAGTTTTTAAAAAGGAGGTTAAGCTGTACTATCTCTGTGAAAAAAATTTATATATTGTAAACAATGATAATCGAAGATTTAGTTCAAAGTGGGACTTATACTCTGGACTTTTTCAAGAGTGAGGTTACCGCGACGCTAATTTTGGTGATTATGTTTCCATATTTAGTTCTAATAATGTTCAGAATATAGTATATCTTGTGTTATGTGAATGTGAACTTAGGTAGAGAAATAAATGAGTTAGCCGGAAAATAAAAATTATTCACCAGTCACAAAGTGTCCCCCTTTTCTTTTCCAGTGTTTCCCGGCCAAAGGAAGCAGTCTTAAACTAAAATATTGGCTTTTATGGAGCCTGCTCTCAGAGCACGGTGTCTTTGGCTCAGCTATCCAGCGATCGCATAAGTTCTTGAAGAACAAAACGCACCCCATCACAGTTTTTCAAACTATATCCGTGCTTTCACCCTTACTGGTTAGGATAGTTCACATCCAACAATCACTGACCAGGATTTAGTACTAATTTCCAAGCAGCTAAATAATAAAAC